TGGAAGTATCACGGTAAATCTGCGTTAAAATGTAAAAGTCATTTACAATTGAGCCGATATATGCAGCATTTACCGTGAATGCAGTCTCTGTGGACATTGGAACATTGTCTTTAAATTTCAATCGAGCTATAACGCAGATCTTCCGCGATACTTCTGCGATACGGATTGAATCCAGTCCTAGTTCTCCCTCTCTCTTCTCTCTCCTCTCTCTATTTTACTGGGTCTATCCTGTTGTCTGGGTCTGAGTCTAGACTTTAGGGAAACACCCGTTGGGATCTTTTCCCTCTATCCTCTCTGTCGGCATGACAACATGCATGCTTCTGCCCCTGCCATAGCAGGAGGTATGTCCCACTTCTATCCCACAGAGGAAGAAAGAAAGGATGAAAGAGACAGAGAGAGAGAGAGTAAGAGATAGAAAGAGAATGAGAGAAGAATAGAAAGAAAGTAAGAGAAAAAAAAGTGAGAGAAGAGGAAGAAAAGAGAGGGATACAGAAGATGAGGGTCCAGAGGAAGAAAGAAAAGAGGGATACAGAGAGGTTAAGGGTCCAGATCATTGCCCTTTGGCATCACTCTCTCCGGATCCAGTGATGTCACAGTGGAATGTTCAGGTTCTGGATCGGTTCGGTTCTAACCCAGTTGTCTCCCTAATTCGGACTTGCATGTGTTTCTGGCGCCTTGCAGGAGTCAAGTACACCAGACCAGAGCGGCCCAAAGCAAAGGCATTCAGGGTTGATGGAGGGAGAGACAGAGTCACTGAGTCTCTGTCTGGCTAAAGAGGTCTTAATTGGGGTTGTGTCGCCCCAACAAACCTTGTTTCTCTTCCTCCTTCCCTTCATTTTTGCTCTCCGCTTCCTTCTCTCCCGCCTTCCCCTCCTCCTTGGCCCCTTTACCCCTTCATTCTTCTTCCTCCTCTCCCCGTCTCCTTCACTTCCTCTTCCTCAATGTTCACCTCTCCCTCCTCCTCTTTTTCATCCCTAAGAAACCAGGACCTTTATCCATTGAACGGCCTTTACTGCCTCTATTGAACAGCCTTTACTCCTCTATTGAACAGGCTTTACTCCTATTGACAGGGCAGCTTTACTCCTCTATTGAACAGGCCTTTACTCCTCTATTGAACGGCCTTTACTCCTCTATTGAACAGGCCTTTACTCCTCTATTGAACAGGCCTTTCTCTTACTCTCTCTATTGAACGGGCCTTTACTCCTCTATTGAACAGGCCTTTACTCCTCTATTGAACGGGCCTTTACCTCCTCCTTATTGAACAGGCCTTTACTCCTCTATTGAACAGGCTTCTTATTACCTCTCTTATTGAACAGGCCTTTACTCCTCTATTGAACAGGCCTTTATCCTCTATTGAACAGGCCTTTACTCCTCTATTGAACAGGCCTTTACTCCTCTATTGAACGGCCTTTACTCCTCTATTGAACAGGCCTTTACTCCTCTATTGAACAGGCCTTTACTCCTTCCTCTTTGAACAGGCATTTACTCCTCTATTGAACAGGCTTTTACTCCTCTATTGAACAGGCCTTTACTACTCTATTGAACAGGCCTTTACTCCTCTATTGAACAGGCCTTTACTCCTCTATTGAACAGGCCTTTACTCCTCTATTGAACAGGCCTTTACTCCTCTATTGAACAGGCCTTTACTACTCTATTGAACAGGCCTTTACTCCTCTATTGAACTGGCTTTTACTCCTCTATTGAACAGGCCTTTACTCCTCTATTGAACAGGCCTTTACTACTCTATTGAACGGGCCTTTACTCCTCTATTGAACAGGCCTTTACTCCTCTATTGAACAGGCCTTTACTACTCTATTGAACGGGCCTTTACTCCTCTATTGAACAGGCCTTTACTCCTCTATTGAACAGGCCTTTACTACTCTATTGAACAGGCCTTTACTACTCTATTGAACGGGCCTTTACTCCTCTATTGAACAGGCCGTGATGTGTGTGTGTGTTAGTGTAGAAGGGGTGTATGTAGGAGGGGTGTGTGTTGAAGGATACAAAAACATGACACACACACACCCCTCCTACATACACCCCTTCCACACTAACACACACACACATTACCACGCAAGCAAGCACACACACATTAATGTTCTCTTAGAAAGTGAGCCAAGCCTGCTAGAGCTCCAGGACTGATTGCAATGTACTTAGCAAATGTGAAATTGGCTTTTTACCAAATTACCGTACAACAGACCACGTATTCACCCTGCACACCCTAACCAAAACAAAGGCAAAGTCTTCTCATGCTTTGTTAATTTCAAAAAAGCTTTTGACTCAATTTGGCATGAGGATCCGCTATACAAATTGATGGAAAGTGGTGTTGGGAGGAAAACATATGACATTATAAAATCCATGTACACAAACAACAAGTGTGCGGTTAAATTTGGCAAAAAAACTGGGATGCAGTTTGAGCCCCACACTCTTCAAAATATATATCAACGAATTGGCAAGGGGCACTAGAACAGTCTGCAGCACCCGGCCTCACCCTACTAGAATCTGAAGTCAAATGTCTACTGTTTGCTGATGATCTGGTGCTTCTGTCCCCAACCAAGGAGGGCCTACAGCAGCACCTAGATCTTCTGCACAGATTCTGTCAGACCTGGGCCCTGACAGTAAATCTCAGTAAGACAAAAATAATTGTGTTCCAAAGAAGGTCCAGTTGCCAGGACCACAAATACAAATTCCATCTAGACACTGTTGCCCTAGAGCACACAAAAAACGATACCTACCTCAGCCTAAACATCAGCACCACAGCTAACTTCCACAAAGCTTTGAACGATCTGAGAGACAAGGCAAGAAGGGCCATCTACGCCATCAAAAGGAACAGAAAATTTGACATACCAATTAGGGTCTAGCTAAAATAATTTAATCAGTTATAGAACCCATTGCCCTTTATGGTTGTGAGATCTGGGGTCCGCTCAACAACCAAGAATTCACAAAATGGGACAAACACCAAATTGAGACTCTGCATGCAGAATTCAGAAAAAATATCCTCAGTGTACAACACAAAATAATGCATGCAGAGCAGAATTAGGCTGATACCCGCTAATTATCAAAATCCAGAAAATTGCAGTTAAATTCTACAACCACCTAAAAGGAAACGATTCCCAAACCTTCCATAACAAAGCCATCATCTACAGAGAGATGAACCTGGACAAGAGCTCCCTAAGCAAGCTGGTCCTGGGGCTCTGTTCACAAACACAAACAGACCCCTCAGAGTCCCTAGAATGCTATTTGGCCCTAAACAGAGAGTACACAGTGGCAGAATACCGGACTACTGTGACTGACCCAAAATTAAGGAAAGCTTTGACTATGTACAGACTCACTGAGCATAGCCTTGCTATTGAGAGAGGCAGACCTGGCTCTCAAGAGAAGACAGGCTATGTGCACACTGCCCACAAAATGAGGTGGAAACTGAGCTGCACTTACTAACCTCCTGCCAAATATATTACCATAATAGAGAAACATATTTCCCTTAGATTACACAGACCCACAAAGAATTTGAAAACAAATCCAATTTTGATAAACTCCCATATCTATTGGGTGAAATACAACAGTGTGCCATCACAGCAGCAAGATTTGTGACCTGTTGCCACAAGAAAAGGGCAACCAGTGAAGAACAAACACCATTGTAAATACAACCCATATTTATGTTTATTTATTTTCCCTTTTGTACTTGAACTATTTGTACATCATTATAACACTGTATATCGCCATAATATGACATCTGAAATGTCTCTATTCCTTTTGAACTTTTGTGAGTGTAATGTTTACTGTTCATTTTTTATAGTTTATTTCACTTCTGTTTATTCTGTATTTCACTTGCTTTGGCAACGTCAACATATGTTTCCCATGCCAATAAAGCCCTTAAATTAGAGAGGGAGAGAGAGAGAGTGCCTGAGTGTTGAGGGGTCTGCTAGGGCACAAAGTCCCTAACTATCTCAGGTGTGACACTGTGTCTGGTCACAAGGCACATAGTCAATGTGTGTGTGGGTCCGTGTGAACCGTGTGTTTTTTTATCCAAAGTTGTTTTTAGCTCCTGGACACCGTGTCCCCCCTACCTCTGATCCCTCCATCTCTCCATCCCCCCCGTGGAGGTCAGTTGTGTCTCCGGTCTGGCCACTTATTAATGAAGTTAATTAAACACCAATTAAAAACAGACACATTCAGCCATCTGTGGCTGACCTGGAAGGGAGGGAGAAGGGTGGAGGAATGAAGAGAGGGAGGGCGGGAGGGGGGAAGGGGTGTGAGGGTGTGAGGGACTCGAGGTGGGAACAGATGAAAAGAGGGAGGGTTGGAGGTGGTAGAGGGGTGAAGTGAGGGAGGAATGGAGGTGTGAGGGGGCTGGAGAAGGAGGGAGTGAATTGAAGAAAAGGTGAAAGAGGGGGAAGAGAGAGAGAGAGAGAGGTGGAAAGCCTCCAGCGACTGTTTAGGTTCTAAACACCCTAAACTACTCACCCATGGGTGTGTCCTTTGTTATAAATTAGCTCAGTCCCTTAAAATGTAATGATTAGTGCTTTAGAGGGGATCAAATGTGGCTTTAATGTGTTAACTAGTAACCTGCCATTGTGTAGTAAAAAAAACCCAGGGCATTTAGGGACAGTTACAGGCTATGATGTTTATAGAGATCATCACCATCATCAACACAATCATCATCACCGTCATCATCACCAGCATCATCACCATCATCACTATCATCACCAGCATCATCATCAACATCGCCACTATCATCATCGCCATCATCATCCCCATAATTGCATTGATCTGCAACGCACCTGAACTTGACAAATGATGCACGAAAGATGTCTGGTGCGTTGAATGGACTGATGTGAGCGAGCCCACAGTCAAAAGCCAATGGACTCCTTTATAGGCTATCTATCCGTCTGTAGTTACCGAGCGCGCACCCGGAGAGCGGAGCGGAGTTGCATCGTGACCGCGCCCCAGCAGCGCGTAGCTATATCATATGACTCAAAGCGTTCCGACTTCATTCACTACGGAGATCACACGACAAGGATACAGCGTGCGGGGCCCGCTTTGAAGGGATCTAATAGGCTACAAAAACCGTTTGATGAGAACAACCGGGACATGCGGACTGCGTGACATTATTTTTTACCTTATCTCCATTTGAAGATATAAACGGGACATCAAGTTTATATTTTTTGGAAGTCTCGCATAAAATTTTAATGGATAGTGAAATATTATATTCTCAGAGCATTGTGCCAAAATGCATAAGGGATTAAGACACTTAAATGTGTCACTACTAGACGTCTTCACTTCAAGTGGATTATAGCCTAATCAGCAAAATTATTATATTTCTCACATCTGGAAGTTCTTATAAGCATAGATAGTTCTTCTCTCAGGTGCCGTAACTCCGACCCATCTCCTGCTCCTGTGTTGCTTCTGTGGCCAAAAGAGGAGTAGGAAACCCAACTGACCTCAATAAACGTCCGTCTTAAATGTAAACCTAAATGAATACCCAAGAAGTCACATTTTTAACCTCGCCAAATTGCCTATGATAGCCAAATAATTCGGACTACCGGCTGTAGCGTCGTGGAGGTAGCGGCTCCACCCGAGGGATGGTACTGGATTCCCGGGGTTTGGGAGCGACGCCTCGGCTCCTGGTTCTGGAACGGTGTTGGTGGAACTATTGGAACTTTCTCTCGTTCTGGAGCCCAACGGACGTGAAAGGAGATGAGAGCCGCTTTTCTGAGCTTCCTCCTCGCCTGCTTATTGTGCCTGTTACGCACCACCGCTGAGGTATATAAAGGACTTTTATGCGAGTTCTGGTTTGTATGGGCCAATTTAGTTCAAATTATGCCGTTTTTAGTGCAACGCTTACTTCGTTGGCAGGTGCAACGTTTGTCCACTCATGCTCCATTTATGCGTATTTACGAGAAAAACTCCAGAGTAGCTTTGCTGTAACTCCTTCCATAAATTATATGACAATTGGGGGAATGTATGGCTTCTCAGCAACAAGTGCAAACTAAGTGTGCATGAATGCATTATACCACCCCCTAACATGTGCGCAGATTTGTCCTTAAAACACTTCTTCAGCGCTATATAGTCACACTCACACCACCTCTATAGCCGCACTATCCATTACGGTACAATGACGTCTGTGTAGTTAATAAAGTGCTGTTATTTTCCTTTGAATGTTTTCCTTTTCTTCCAGGAGGCCCAGCTCCCCCGGGAGCTGTTGGAGCGGCTGTCCCGCAGTGAGATCCGCAGCATCAGCGACCTCCAGCGGCTCCTGGAGCTAGACTCCGTAGGTAGGCCTAAAGCCTCTTATATCAGTCTTCATTCAATACTTTTATTACACAGCCTAGGGCTAGGCTTCAGTAAAGACACTGAATTGAGCTCAACACAACATGCCAGAAGCAGCCTACACTCTTAGATAAAAAGGTTCTGGATAGAACCAAAAAGGGTTATATTGCTTGCTTCATATATGGCACCCCTAAAAGTTCTATATAGAACCCTCTTATGGGGTTGTTTAATCAGAACCCCAGGGGTTCTTATTCACTGAACTCATTGTTCTATATGAACCTTGGGTCAGATGGGTTCTATATTGAACCTAAGGGTGCATATGAAGCAAGCATGAACCTTTTAGTTTATCAAAACTTTTTTTCTAAGAGTGTACCCTTTGAAGGAAGGAAGAGAGAGGTGTAAAGAGGTGCTATGACTGTCTTGTTTGTTATAGTCTGTTAGTCTGTGGGCAACTTGGACAAGTCAGTTGCTACATCGGGGCAAGTTTTGAGATAACACAGATGCTTCACAAAGTTGTGCTCCATGTATGAGTTTTTGTCCGATGTACTATGGTATACTGAAGTATAATTACAAGCATTCCATATTTATTGACATACATTAAGTTTATGCAAAGAGTCAATATTTGCAGTGTTGACCCTTCTTTTTCAAGACCTCTGCAATCCGCCATGGCATGCTGTCAATTAACTTCTGGGCCACATCCTGACTGATGGCAGCCCATTCTTGCATAATCAATGGTTGGAGTTTGTCAGAATTTGTCGGTTTTTGTTTGTCCACCCGCCTCTTGAGGATCGACCACAAGTTCTCAATGGGATTAAGGTCTGGGGAGTTTCCTGGCCATGGACCCAACATTTCAATGTTTTGTTCCCCGAGCCACTTAGTTATCACTTTTGCCTTATGGCAAGGTGCTCCATCATGCTGGAAAAGGCATTGGTCGTTACCAAACTGTTCTTGGATGGTTGGGAGAAGTTGCTCTCGGAGGATGTGTTGGTACCATTCTTTATTCATGTCTGTGTTCTTAGGCAAAATTGTGAGTGAGCCCACTCCCTTGGCTGAGTAGCAACCCCACACATGAATGGTCTCAGGATGCTTTACTGTTGGCATGACACAGGACTGATGGTAGCGCTCACCTTGTCTTCTCCGGACAAGGTGTTTTCCGGATGCCCCAAACAATCGGAACGGGGATTCATCAGAGAAAATGACTTTACCCCAGTCCTCCAGCAGTCCAATCCCTGTACCTTTGCAGAATATCAGTCTGTCCTGATGTTTTTCCTGGAGAGAAGTGGCTTCTTTGCTGCCCTTCTTGACACCAGGCCATCCTCCAAAAGTCTTTCGCTTCACTGTGTGTGCGATGCCACTCACACCTGCCTGCTGCCATTCCGGAGCAAGCTCTGCACTGCTGGTGCCCCGATCCGCAGCTGAATCAACTTTAGGAGACGGTCCCTGGCGCTTGCTGGACTTTCTTGGGCGCCCTGACGCCTTCACAACAATTGAACCCTCTCTCCTTGAAGTTCTTGATGATCCGATAAATGGTTGATTTAGGTGCAATCTACTAGCAGCAATATCCCTTGCCTGTGAAGCCCTTTTGTGCAAAGCATGATGACGGCACGTGTTTCCTTGCAGGTAACTGGTTAACAGAGGAAGAACAATGATTTCAAGCACCACCCTCCTTTAAAAGCTTCCAGTCTGTTATTTTAACTCAATCAGCATGACAGAGTGATCTCCAGCCTTGTCCTCGTCAACACTCTCACCTGTGTTAACGAGAGAATCACTGACATGATGGCAGGTGGTCCTTTTTTGGCAGGGCTGAAATGCAGTGGAAATGTTTTTTTGGGATTAAGTTCATTTTCATGGCAAAGAGGGACTTTGCAATTAATTGCAATTCATCTGATCACTCTTCATGACATTCTGGAGTATATGCAAATTGCCATCATCAAAACTGAGGCAGCAGACTTTGTGAAAATTAGTATTTGTGTCATTCTCAAAACTTTTGACCACAACTGTACATAAGAGATGTTGAATTTGAGGAGTTATTTCCTGCAGCTTAGAGAGAAAGAGTCAATGAATCTCCATGGGATGATGCCCCGGCCAAAGGCACGCCCCTCTCGCGGGTGGGTACTAAAAAAAGGCCTCACCAGCTTCTGCTGTAGATAGCGGGAGTTGTTCCTGTCCCACTGCTCGAGGTGCTGCGAGGACAGCCACCATGAACTTGGTGACTGCTGCTTGTGTCAAACTTGGATCTGTTTTACACTTTTTATTCCACATGAAATTAACTTTAGGACACTGAACACATAATTGGAGACTGGTGGAGTAAGGGAGAAGGTGTGTAAAAGGGCTTGAAGCATACCCTAATGAAACGTTTAAAGCCATTCATTGTTAGGCTACTTAGTAACCTCTCTCCATTCTACATTCTTCAGTTCTTATCGTTTTTTCATCTTTTTTCATTTGGTCTTGACTACACCCCACCATTAATTCTGCCATTATTGAGATGCAAATAGGCCTGTCTGCTACTCAGCTGTCTCCTCAGCGCTTGGGGGTCAAGTGGCTGTCGGCTTTATGCTGCTGTCATGCTGTCCATTATTTGTGGAGCAGCAGTGGAAGGCTGAATGGCACACACACACACACACACACACACACACACACACACACACACACACACACACACACACACACTGAGGGCTGAATGGCTGCTGTGCTGGTATGTATAATTCATGGTGAAATTCCTGCGTGTCAGGAGGAAGGAGAGGGAGGATCTAGGAGGCTTTCTATTGGTCAAGACATACAGCAAGCACTTAAGTTCCTGCACGTAAGTGCTGTCACACACACACACTTGCAAGGAACACACACACAGACACACATAATCATACACACACCCTCTACAGTCTACACTCTCTGTGGGGTCAGTATTTGGGTAGCAAAAATATATACTTTGAGAGAGAGACCCCAAACAGGTCAATATAGAGCTGAAAGGACAAACAAGGTCATTTTGAAGTGGAAGGTTGAAGGTTCCTTACACACCTGATTAACAACCAAAGCTGTTATGTTGGTAAGCAGAAGGCTTATGGTTGTCATGGTGATGATAAGGGATTGTTCCTTTACAGAGGGGACACAGTTCTTTTGAGCTTTTCTGAGTTCAAGCTTCTCTCTCTTCCCCTTTAGTGTTGGTCTGCTTCTGAATGGCCCAGCTAGTGTAGGGTTAACATGACATTGATGTTGTTGTGGTCAACAGAGAATGAGGTGTTGGGGGAGAACGAACAGAGGTACCACAACAAGGCCTTCTCCTACAGCTACTCACAGACACACTCCAGACACAAGAGGAGTATCGGTAAGTGTGTGTGTGTGTCTTTGTAGTTGTGTTCATGCATATCTGTGTGTGTGTGTCTCTCTGTGTGTGTCTCTCTCTGTGTGTGTGTGTGTGTGTCTCTCTCTCTGTGTGTGTGTCTCTCTCTCTGTGTGTGTCTCTCTCTCTGTGTGTGTCTCTCTCTCTCTGTGTGTCTCTCTGTGTGTGTCTCTCTGTGTGTGTGTCTCTCTGTGTGTGTCTCTCTGTGTGTGTGTGTGTCTCTCTCTCTGTGTGTGTCTCTCTCTTTGTGTGTGTCTCTCTCTGTGTGAGTCTGTGTGTGTGTGTATACTTCCAACACTACTTTCTCTCTATGCTGTTATGTTTCACCTTTAACCTCTCCCCCTCCCCTTTGACCCCAGAGGAGGCGTTACCCGCGGTGTGTAAGACTCGTACGGTGATCTACGAGATCCCTCGGAGCCACGTGGATCACACCTCCGCTAACTTCATCATCTGGCCTCCCTGTGTAGAGGTGAAGAGATGTACCGGATGCTGCAACACCAGCAACATGCACTGCCTGCCCTCCCGCAAGCACCATCGCACTGTCAAGGTAGGAGAGATCCACACCTTCTCTGAGAGATTCTCTCTCTCTCCTCTCACACACACGCAGGCACGCACATACACACACACACACACGTACACACACACGCACGAACACACACACACACACACATACACACACATACATAAACACACACACGTCCACACACATACACACACACACACACACACACACACACACACACACACACACACACACACACACACACACACACACACACACACACACACACACACACACACACACACACACACACACACACACACACACACTTGCAGCAGCTCAACCATTCAATCCCTGGCTCCTAGTCCAGCTCCCCTTGGCTGGGTTTGCCTGGCTAGGTCTGTGCTAGTGTGTGTGTGTGTGTGTGTGTGTGTGTGTGTGTGTGTATGTATTCATGCCTGCATACGTGTATATGTGTATATGTACAGTACCAGTCAAAAGTTTGGACACACCTACTCATTCAAGGGTTTTCTTTATTTTTACTATTTTCTACATTGTAGAATAATAGTGAAGACATCAAAACTATGAAATAACACATATGGAATCATGTAGTAACCAAAAAAGTGTGAAACAAATCAAAATATATTTTACATTTTGGATTCTTCAATGTAGCCACCCTTTGCCTTGATGAAAGCTTTGCACACTCTTGGCATTCTCTCAACCAGCTTCATGAGGAATGCTTTTCCAACAGTCTTGAAGGAGTTCCCACATATGCTGAGCACTTGTTGGCTGCTTTTCCTTCACTCTGCGGTCCAACTCATCCCATACCATCTCAATTGGGTTGAGGTCGGGGGATTGTGGAGGCCAGGTCATCTGATGCAGCACTCCATCACTCTCCTTCTTGGTCAAATAGCCCTTACACAGCATTGAGGTGTGTTTTGGGTCATTGTCCTGTTGAAAAACAAATGATAGTTCCACTAAGCGCAAACCAGATGGGATGGCGTATCGCTGCAGAATGCTGTGTTAGCCATGCTGGTTAAGTGTGCCTTGAATTCTAAATAAATCACAGACAGTGTCACCAGCAAAGCACCCCCACACCATCACACCTCTTCCTCCATGCTTCACAGTGGGAACCACACATGCAGAGATCATCCGTTCACCTACTCTGCATCTCACAAAGACACAGCAGTTGGAACCACAAAACTCAAATTTGGACTCATCAGACCAAAGGACAGATTTCCACCGGTCTAATGTCCATTGCTCGTGTTTCTTGGTCCAAGCAAGTCTCTTCTTCTTATTGGTGTCCTTTAGTAGTGGTTTCTTTGTAGCAATTCGACCATGAAGGCCTGATTCACGCAGTCTCCTCTGAATAGTTGATGTTGAGATGTGTCTGTTACTTGAACTCTGTGAAGCATTTATTTGGGCTGCAATCTGAGGCTGGTAACTTTAATGAACTTGTCCTCTGCAGCAGAGGTAACTCTGGGTCTTCCTTTCCTATGGTGTTCCTCATGAGAGCCAGTTTCATCATAGCGCTTGATGGTTTTTGCTACTGCACTTGAAGAAACTTTCAAAGTTCTTGAAATGTTCTGTATTGACTGACCTTCATGTCTTAAAGTAATGATGGACTGTCATTTCTCTTTGCTTATTTGAGCTTTTCTTGCCATAATATGGACTTGGTATTTTACCAAATAGGGCTATCTTCTGTATACCACCCCTATCTTGTCACAACACAACTGATTTGCTCAAACAGCATTAAGAAGGAAAGAAATTCCACAAATTAACTTTTAAGAAGGCACACCTGTTAATTGAAATGCATTCCAGGTGACTACATCATGAAGCTGGTTGAGAGAATGCTAAGAGTGTGCAAAGCTGTCATCAAGGCAAAGGGTGGCTACTTTGAAGAATCTCAAATATACAATACACTTTTTTGGTTACTACATGATTCCATATGTGTTATTTCATAGTTTTGATGTCTTCACTATTATTCTACAATGTAGAAAATAGTAAAAAATAAAGAAAAACCCTTGAATGAGTATGTGTGTGTGTGTGTATACAGTGGGGAGAACAAGTATTTGATACACTGCCGATTTTGCAGGTTTTCCTACTTACAAAGCATGTAGAGGTCTGTAATTTTTATCATAGGTACACTTCAACTGTGAGAGACGGAATCTAAAACAAAAATCCAGAAAATCACATTGTATCATTTTTAAGTAATTCATTTGCATTTTATTGCATGACATAAGTATTTGATACATCAGAAAAGCAGAACTTAATATTTGGTACAGAAACCTTTGTTTGCAATTACAGAGATCATACGTTTCCTGTAGGTCTTGACCAGGTTTGCACACACTGCAGCAGGGATTTTGGCCCACTCCTCCATACAGACCTTCTCCAGATCCTTCACGTTTTGGGGCTGTCGCTGGGCAATATGGACTTTCAGCTCCCTCCAAAGATTTTCTATTGGGTTCAGGTCTGGAGACTGGCTAGGCCACTCCAGGACCTTGAGATGCTTCTTACGGAGCCACTCCTTAGTTGCCCTGGTTGTGTGTTTCGGGTCGTTGTCATGCTGGAAGACCCAGCCACGACCCATCTTCAATGCTCTTACTGAGGGGAAGTTGTTGGCCAAGATCTCGCGATACATGGCCCCATCCATCCTCCCCTCAATACGGTGCAGTCGTCCTGTCCCTTTTGCAGAAAAGCATCCCCAAAGAATGATGTTTCCACCTCCATGCTTCACGGTTGGGATGGTGTTCTTGGAGTTGTACTCATCCTTCTTCTTCCTCCAAACACGGCGAGTGGAATTTAGACCAAAAAGCTCTATTTTTGTCTCATCAGACCACATGACCTTCTCCCATTCCTCCTCTGGATCATCCAGATGTTCATTGGCAAACTTCAGACGGGCCTGGACATGCGCTGGCTTGAGCAGGGGGACCTTGCGTGCGCTGCAGGATTTTAATCCATGACGGCGTAGTGTGTTACTAATGGTTTTCTTTGAGACTGTGGTCCCAGCTCTCTTCAGGTCATTGACCAGGTCCTGCCGTGTAGTTCTGGGCTGATCCCTCACCTTCCTCATGATCATTGATGCCCCACGAGATGAGATCTTGCGTGGAGCCCCAGAACGAGGATGATTGACCGTCATCTTGAACTTCTTCCATTTTCTAATAATTGCGCCAACAGTTGTTGCCTTCTCACCAAGCTGCTTGCCTTTTGTCCTGTAGCCCATCCCAGCCTTGTGCAGGTCTACAATTTTATCCCTGATGTCCTTACACAGCTCTCTGGTCTTGACCATTGTGGAGAGGTTGGAGTCTGTTTGATTGAGTGTGTGGACAGGTGTCTTTTATACAGGTAACGAGTTCAAACAGGTGCAGTTAATACAGGTAATGAGTGGAGAACAGGAGTGCTTCTTAAAGAAAAACTAACAGGTCTGTGAGAGCCGGAATTCTTACTGGTTGGTAGGTGATCAAATACTTATGTCATGCAATAAAATGCAAATTAATTACTTAAAAATCATACAATGTGATTTTCTGGATTTTTGTTTAGATTTTAGATTCCGTCTCTCACAGTTGAAGTGTACCTATGATAAAAATTACAGACCTCTACATGCTTTGTAAGTAGGAAAACCTGCAAAATCGGCAGTGTAACAAATACTTGTTCTCCCCACTGTATGTGTGTATATGTGTGTGTATGTGCCAGGCCAGGAGACTCCCTCGCGACCGCAAGAACATAATCATTTGTCTTTGATCTCTGCCAGGGCTGGCACATAACAGCTAGTAAACCCTGCCGTCTGACACCCACACACATTGCCAACTGGAAGCTCTGCTCAGTAAGTGAGTGTTCATGCGCTCAGGATTTCCAGCCAGTTTACCATCGTCTGAGCCGAGGAGGATAGTGGGTGTGTTCATGATCTCAGTGCTTCAGTGTATTCACTGCGGGGGTTATTTTGTTTGCAGGACAGACAGATCACCCTCGGTCCTGGCCAGATCCCTGCCCTTTTCCCCACTCCCTGTTTTCCTCTGAGTGAATGGCTCCTCAGTCCTCTGTCTATTGGGCTCCCGAGTGGCGCAGCGGTCTAAGGCACTGCATCTCAGTGCTTGAGGCGTCACTACAGACCCCCTGGTTTGATTCCAGGCCGTGATTGGGAGTCCCATAGGGCGGCGCAGAATTGGCCCAGCGTCGTCCGGGTTTGGCCGGTGTAGGCCGTCATTGTAAATAAGAATTTGTTCTTAACTGACTTGCCTAGTTAAATAAACAATTTATAAAAAATTAAAGGACTAAAGATGCTGTCTGTCTGGCTTAGCTGTTCCTCAGACGGTTCACACAGAGGAAGAAGTTGTTATTTCTGGGTGCCGAGGTAGTCCCTCCCTGTTTAGGTAAATGTTCTTCTGTTTAGTGCCTATTGAATACAGTCTGAACTGATCTGAACTGGACTGGACTGAACTGAACTGGACTGGACTGAACTGATCTGAACTGAACTGATCTGAACTGATCTGAACTGGGTGGGGCGGCGCTATCTGTTGTAGACCTCAGATAGAGGGTCAAAGGTCATAGAGATATCCCTGCAAATAAGATACATAACTATTGGAGGAAATCTAACTGTGCATAAATGCAGTGAGAAAGAGAGAAGCAGTGTTTTGAAGGGGGGAGGGATGGTCGGATAGAGAGAGCGGAGGGATGAGAGGAATGGACAGATGAAGCATGACAGTAGCAGGAAGTAAGCAGGGTGGTGAGGAGAGATGAGGAGGGATGAGAGGAATGGACAGATGAAGCATGACAGTAGCAGGAAGTAAGCAGGGTGGTGAGGAGAGATGAGGAGGGATGAGAGGAATGGACAGATGAAGCATGACAGTAGCAGGAAGTAAGCAGGGTGGTGAGGAGAGATGAGGAGGGATAGAGAGGAATGGACATATGAAGCATGAGAGTAGCAGGAAGTAAGCAGGGTGGTGAGGAGAGATGAGGAGGGATAGAGAGGAATGGACAGATGAAGCATGAGAGTAGCAGGAAGTAAGCGGGGTGGTGAGGAGAGATGAGGAGGGATAGAGAGGAATGGACAGATGAAGCATGACAGTAGCAGGAAGTAAGCAGGGTGGTGAGGAGAGCTGAGGAGGGATGAAGAGAATGGCAGATGAAGCATGTCAGTAGCAGGAAGTAAGCAGGGTGGTGAGAGAGATGAGGAGGGATAGAGAGGAATGGACGATGAAGCATGTCAGTAGTCAGGAAGTACGCAGGGTAGGGAGGAGAAGAGAGGAGGGATAGAGAGGACTGACAGATGAGCATGACTGTAGCGAAGTACGCAGGGGGGTGAGGATAGATGAGGAGGGATGAGAGGATGGACAGATGAAGCATGACAGTAGTCGGAAGTAAGCAGGGTGGTGGGAGAGATGAGGAGGGATAGAGAGGAATGGACAGATGAAGCATGACAGTAGCAGGAAGTAAGCAGGGTGGTTGAGGAGAGAATTGAGGAGGGATGAGAGGAATGGACAGATGAAGCATGCCAGTAGGCAGGAAGTAAGCAGGGTGGTTGAGGAGAGATGAGGAGGGATAGAGAGGATTGGACAGATGAAAGCATGTCAGTAGCAGGAAGTAAGCAGGGTGGTGAGGAGAGAGGAGGAGGGATGAGAGGAATGGACAGATGAAGCATGACAGTAGCAGGAAGTAAGCGGGGTGGTGAGGAGAGATGAGGAGGGATAGAGAGAGCGGAGGGATGAGAGGAATGGACAGATGAGGAGAGAAGGGAGGGCGTAGATTTGATCCCCTTTTGATACTCAATATCAGATGAAAGGGTCTTTCTCTCTCTTTCATTCTTTTTCCTTTTCTTCTTTCATTCGTTCTTTCTTTCTCTTTGTCTTTGACAGAGAGGAAATCAAAAGATAAGTCTCCTGTATATCCTGAGATTCAACTACAGAGATAGAACTATGGAGCGGAAACACACACACATACACGTGTGAGTGCACGCACGGACGCACACATGCACGGACGCACACACACATGCACGCACACACACTTTCGCACACTGTGTGACGTCCAGGAGAAGCCGTTGAGGGTGTGTCAATGTGTGTGTGCATGTGCATGCTAGCTTGCCCGTCTCTGCTATTCTAGAAACCATTCACCAGTGCCAGAACAGCGGACAGTTGTTTTTCATTGGCTCATACTGGTCTTGGCTCTGTGTATTAATCTCCCATGGTTTCTCTGGGTCCACAGTCTGTTTCCCGCCATTCCAGTTTCTACTGGTGGGAGAGAGACAAAGGTTCCATTGTTATGTCTGACTTTATGATTCCTTTCTGGGGAGATAACAGCTGGAGGGACATAGTCATATTAATATGACCTGATGGTTTACTGAGAACCCAAACACACCTCGTGTTACACACCTTTGAGTTGACTCATGTCTTTTTCCTCTGTATTTCATATTGAAGACTTTTTCCAATTGACAGGTAGGAAACTTAGAAACTCCCTCATGGCTGCATCTCAATAGCCTAAAATGGGTTCTTCTCCATGTCTCCTTCCTTTCTATGTCTCCTCCCTTAGGATCTTAATTTGAGCCAGTTTACTACAGCAGGAAAATAATCTGGCAGCAACAGGAAATGTTAATTATTATGTGGATTAATGGACATTTTATGTAGGGGTTGATACATTTTTCGTTAGGGCAAATCAAGCCTGACATTTTAAAGTGGAAATTACAAACTTTAGAAGCTTTTTTAAACATTGAATACACTACAAGTTAGCATTTCCTGCCATGCAGGAAAGTTCTCAGCAACAAAAGAGTGATCAAATTCAGAGCCTACATCTGTACACTGCCCTGTAAGCACAGGGAACATAAAGCAGTATGGCATCTGTCCAGTTCTTTCCTATCAGTGCAGAATCAGAAGAAGGAAATTAGAGAAGAAGAAAAAGCCTCTATTAAAACATGGAGAGGGAGCGTCTCTTGCCTACACTACTGAGATGCCTTACCTCACCTGAACCTCTGTACCAATAAGTGTTACTGTCTCTGCTGTGCTGCTCTGGTTCATGTTGGAACATAGCAGCACCTTTCTCTCTGTGTGTGTGTGTGTGTGTGTGTGTGTTTGTGTGTGTGTGTGTGTGTGTGTGTGTGTGTGTGTGTGTGTGTTGCCTCTGTGTATGTTCAGACTTGAAAGAGAAGAGAGGCTTGTGCAATCAGTCCTGGAGCTCTAGCAGGCTTGGCTCACTTTCTGAGAGAACAGTAATGTGTGTGTGCTTGCTTGCGTGCATGCGTGTGTGGGTATGTGTGTGTTAGAGTAGGAGGTGTGTGTGTTAGTGTAGGAGGTGTGTGTGTGTTAGTGTAGGAGGTGTGTGTGTGTGTTAGTGTAGGAGGGGTGTGTGTGTGTTAGTGGAGGAGGTGTGTGTGTGTGTTAGTGTAGGAGGGGTGTGTGTGTGTTAGTGTAGGAGGTGTGTGTGTGTGTTAGTGTAGGGGGTGTGTGTGTAGTGTAGGAGGGGTGTGTGTGTGTTAATGTAGGAGGGGTGTGTGTTAGTGTAGGACAGGGTTCTTCAATTCCGGTCCTGGAGGGGCGAAACACCTCTGTTTTTCATCCTCTCCTTCTAATCAGGGGCTAATTCAGACCTGGGACACAAGGTGAGTGCAATTAACTACCAGGTAGAAATAAAAAACAGAAGTGTTTCGGCCCTCCAGGACCGGAATTGAAGAACCCTGCTGTAGGAGGTGTGTGTGTGTGTTAGTGTAGGAGGTGTGTGTGTGTTAGTGTAGGAGGTGTGTGTGTGTGTTAGTGTAGGAGGTGTGTGTGTGTTAGTGTAGGAGGTGTGTGTGTGTTAGTGTAGATTGTGTGTGTAGTGTAGGAGGTTGTGTGTGTTAGTGTAGGAGGTTGTGTGTGTGTTAGTGTATGGAGGTGTGTGTGTGTTAGTGTAGGAGGTTGGTGTGTGTGTTATTGTAGTTATGTGTTGTGTGTGTGTTTTTGTGTGAGGTGTGTGTGTGTTTAGTGTAAGGTGGGTGTGTGGTGTTCGTGTAGGAGGTGTGTGTGTGTTGTTAGGAGGTAGTGATGTTTGGTGTGTGTTATGTATAGGATGTGTTGTGTTCGTGTTAGTGGTTTTTGTGTTTATGTTAGAGTGTGTGTGTTGTTAGTGTGTGTGTTGTGTGGTGGTGTGTGTGTTGTGTTAGTGTTGTCTGTGTTGTGGATGTGTTTGTTTGTAGTTGTGGTTTTGTTTTTTGTGTAGGAGTGTTTGTTTTATGTAGGAGTTTTGTGTGTATTTTTGTTGTGTTTAGTGTGGTGTGTTGTTTGTAGGTGTGTGTGTTATGTAGGTTGTGTTTGTTTTGGTTTGTGTGTGGTTGTGTTGTTGGTGTGTGTGTTGTTCGTTCGGGGTGTTTTTTGTTTGTTGTGTGTGTGTTGTTAGATTGGATAAGGCGTCCACGAAGATTCTCCCAACCTGTAGAGGGAGATTCTAGATAGAGAAAAAAAACTGCCTCTCCCTCCTCTCTCTCTCCATCCCTCTATCCATACCTGCTCCAATCTCTCTCACATACTCTCCCCCTCTTCTCATCCCTCTCTCTCCAGGTGGCTAAGGTGGAGTACGTGAGGAGGCGTCCTAAACTAAAGGAGGTGCTGGTGCGGCTGGAGGAGCACCTTGAGTGTATATGCTCCTCCAAACGACACATCAAGGAACTCTACGATACAGACAATGGTAAATATCTTACACTACCCTACTGCATACAGTGTGTGTGTGTGTGTGTGTGTGTGTGTGTCAGCTCCTGTCTGAGAGTGTCTGAGAGTGTCTCTCTACACTGATATAAACTGATGACAGTTGAGGAATTGAATGTCCTCCTCTCCACTTAAATGATTCTCCCTCGGGGTATTCAACTCGTTTTTTCATTCCCCTTTTTTCTTTATAGATACCCCCTCCTCCCCCTCCTCCCCCTCTTCCCCCTCCTCCCCCTCCTCCTCCTGCTCCCCCTCCTCCCCCTTCATTCACAGGACCCAGTAGGACCAAGGGTAAAGGGAGGAAACGTAAAAAGCTCGAAAACCTCAAATAATTTCTCATACCTTTCTCAGGCATGTGGAAAAACACAAGTGTTTATTAGTGTCATTACGGTAGGCAATTAGCGATACAGCCAATCAACGATCTGGGTTTAAACGCCAATCATGGGAATCGCCAATCAGATATCAGTAACAATCGAACAGGAAGAGGGGGTGAAATTAGGAAGTGGTTAATTGGTGACTGGTGCCTTGGCTGATTACATTGGGTATGGAGGTTGTATTTGGTAGTGAAAGATGGGGGTGTCAAAGATTCATTGTTTTAAGTGGTGGACATTTGACATTATATTATTTTGCTGGGGGGATGCTTTATATTGTCTGATTGGCTAAGCTAACGTTTGGTACCTATTTATTTAACCCCTTCAGGCGTAAGGTGAAGAAAGATGGATGGAAGAGAGAAGAGTGGAAGAGGGAAGAGAACGTCTTTTCAACAGAAACTTTCACGTTTCTCAGACTGCGATATGAACTTCAGCCACGTTGTGCGTCATGGCATTGAGTTGAACAAGAGAAGTAGGCAGAGGACAGAGAACATATTGTATATATGTTATATTCTATATCTTCCCACAAGACAAAACATTGCCAGAATCTTGAATGATGCTTGTGGAAGATGCAAATAAGAACTTCGGGATTAGGAGTGGGTGTGGCTTCGATTTGATAATTGACAGGTGTCAAATTACGTGACTACGCTAACTGGCAGAAGAAGAGAGGTAGATTATTGGATACTGGAGGACTATGGGAGTTATAGTCTTTATATAAAGGACTTCTGACTACAAGACTACTCCCATGATTTTGGATTAAAGCGGTTTGGAATCCTTCCAATCATTCCGGATGCTTCCAGAATTTTCCATCGGATTCCGAGGACAATGACTGGGATTATGTTTTGTACTACAAGATTCCAAGATGTACTCTCCTTCTCGTTCTCAAATGAAAAGCACCTAAATTATGTATATCCTCTTATTTTTGTAACCCTCGATTTCTATTACTGACTGACTTCCTGATTAGTTTCTGGTATGTTATTCACATAAAGGAAGGTTTAAAACATCTGCTACATCAATTACACATTACTAATAAACTATTTATAATATCAATATGTTATAATGTCTTTAGTTTTTGCCCGTCAGTCAGAAAATATAGTATTGACTACTTACAGTATATGTGGTCTAGTATTTGATATGATGATTATCTTTACAAACAGTATATGTGGTCGAGAGAGAGAGAGAGAGAGAGAGAGAGAGAGAGAGAGAGAGAGAGAGAGAGAGAGAGAGAGAGAGAGAGAGAGAGAGAGAGAGAGAGAGAGAGAGAGGGTCACCTCTTATAACCCATGCTCAGACACTTTGAACACGAAACCCCTGTGAACTAGTAACTGAGAATATCTCTGCGCTCACTCATACATACCTTCATTACAGAGAGGAAGGAGGTAGATATCAAGACCAACACACTGCTAATGCCAAAGCAACGCACAGGTTATAGAGCAGGGCCTGTATTCATAAAGCGTCTCAGAGTAGGAGTACTGATCTAGGATCAGGTTCCACCTGTCCATTGTAATCTTATTCATTATGATCTAGCAGGCTACACTGATCCTAGATCAGCACTCTTTTCTGAGCCACTTTGTCAATACAGGCCCAGGTAACGGTTTCACTAAGAACACTTAGGAAAATAGTATGTTGTTGAAAGTGACCTAATTCTATTCTGCTATTATTCTTCTTTAACTTTTCAAAGGAGCCTAGAAGCTGACTTCATTTCAAAACATAGATGACTTCAAAGTTCTCACAGAAAGGAAATAACTTTGATAATACAGTATCCCGTTTTTACATCTTAATCAGTGATACCTTAGTCGAAATGATAATATGGCATCTCTTTTGTTACTACAATCCACCAGTGTTATAAGATGCCATGGACCGACAGTACCAGCTCCATTGGTTTAGAAAGAGTTTTATTTAGTGAATAAACCAGTGAAATAGAGGAGAGATTGTGTGCCTTTGGGGTTTCTCAAAATGATATTCACCCTCTCTGCCAAACCATAAACTGCTCCCCCATAATCCTTTTCCAAACCAAAACTACAGCCCAAAATGCAACCCTCGAAGCCAGAAGCTAGCCTTTCTCTCTCTCTCTCTGTGTTATTATGACATTACAATCTATGGTGCCGGTTACACGGTACTCACTCACAGTCAAACTCCCTTTTATATTTCATAATGTCAAATGATGATCATGACATAGCATAAAAATGCTATGATTTAATGAATGTCACAGTGGACTTTATTCATAACAAACAAAGAACAAAACTAATGTTTGTCGGGTTGTGGTGTGGTTTTAAAAGGAACCGACACAAACACAGACAGACTTCATATTAGTTTGAGGTTGGATTACGTAACCAAATGTTGCCAGGGTATTTCTCTTGGGTCGGTTGATATAAACTCTTACTGAAGAAGTTTGCCAATATTCTAAACAGACCGACTGGGCTTTTGGACACACACACACACACCAGGCTTTTGGACTGGAGTGCCCGCTCACCACACGCTGCAATACATAAACGTCCTAATTGAGTGAGTTATATAGTACCGTCGGACAAAGGGGACACTGTCTGGTCTGTGTGTGTGTCTGGTGTGTGTGTGGTGTGTGTCTGGTGTGTGTGGTGTGTAGGAGAAAAGCCCTTATGCTTTCATTCTGCATTATATTACAAATCTACCATATCGGTCGGAGTCTGAGGGAGAGATTTTAACATACTGTACACATGCTATGGTTGTCCAGCTTTTACCATGAGAGAGAGAGAAAGACGGAGAAAGAGAGAGAGAAAGAGAGAGGGAATCGAAAATGAGAGCGAGAGAGCGAGAGCAATGGAGTGAGATAGAGAGGAGAGGAAGAGAGAGGGATCAAATCAAATCGAACCTTAAAATTTCCCTCTCTCTCCTTCCATTCAAATCAAATACAATTTTATTTGTCACATGCTTCGTAAATGACAGTGGTAGACTAACAGTGAAATGCTTACTTATGGCCACATCCCAACAATGCAGAGTGAAAAAAATAGAAAAATAATAACACAAGGAATAAAAACACAATGAGTAACGATAATTTGGCTATATACACGGGGTACCAGTACCGAGTCCATGTACAGGGCTACGAGGTAATTGAGATAGATATGTACATATTGGTAGGGATAAAGTGACTTGGTAACAGGATAGATAATAAACAGTAACAGCAGCATATGTGATGAGTCAAAAGAGTTAGCTAAAAAAGGGTCAATGCAGATAGTCTGGGTAGCTATTGGTTAACTATTTAACTACAATAACTATTTAGCAGTCTTATACTAGCCGCCCTCCAAGACACCTACAGCACCCGATGTCACAGGAAGGCCAAAAAGATCATCAAGGACATCAACCACCCGAGCCACTGCCTGTTCACCCCGCTATCATCCAGAAGGCGAGGTCAGTACAGGTGCATCAAAGCTGGGACCGAGAGAATGAAAAACTGCTTCTATCTCAAGGCCATCAGACTGTTAAATAGCCATCACTAGCACATTAGAGGCTGCTGCTGCCTATTGAAATCACTGGCCACTTTAAGAAATGGAACACTTTAATAATGTTTACATATCTTGCACTACTCATCTCATATGTATATACTGTATTCTCTTCTATAATATTCTACTGTATCTTAGTCCATGCCGCTCTGTCATTGCTTGTCCATATATGTATGTATGTCCATATATGTATATATTCTTAAATTCCATTCCTTACTAGATTTGTGTGTATTGGGTTTATGTTGTGAAATTGTTAGATATTACTTGTTAGATATTACTGCACTGTCGGAGCTAGAAGCACAAGCATTTCGCTACACCCGCAATAACATCTACTAAACACGTGTATGTGACTAATAAATTTGATTTGATTTTGATTATGGCTTGCGGGTAGAAGCTGTTCAGGGTCTGTTGGTTCCAGACTTGGTGCATCGGTACGGCTTGCCATGCGGTAGCAGAGAGAACAGTCTATGACTTGGATGGCTGGAGTTTTTGACAGTTTTTAGGGCCTTCCTCTGACACCGCCTGGTATAGAGGTCCTGGATAACAGGGAGCTCGGTCCCAGTGATGTACTGGGCCATACGCACTACCCTCTGTAGTGCCTTGCAGTCAGATGCCATACCAAGCGGTGATGCAGCCAGTCAAGGTGCACTCTATGGTGCAGCTGTAAAACTTTTTGAGGATTTGAGGGCCCATGCCAAATCTTTTCAGCCTCCTGAGGGGGAAGAGGCGTTGTCGTGCCCTTTTCACAACTATTGGTGTGTGTGGACCATGATAAGTCCTTAGTGATGTGGACACCAAGGAACTTTAAGCTCTCAACCTGATCCAATACAGCCCTGTCGATGTGGATGGGGGGCGTGCTCGGCCCTCTGTTTCCCATAGTCCACGATCAGCTCCTTTGTCTTGCTGATGTTGAGGGAGAGGTTGTTGTCCTGGCACCACACTGCCACGTGTCTGACCTCCTCCCTATAGGCTGTCTCATCGTCATCTGTGATCAGGCCTTCCACCGTCGTGTTGTCTGCAAACTTGATGATGGTGTTGGAGTCGTGTGCGGCCACGCAGTTGTGGATGAACAGGGAGTACAGGAGGGGACTAAGCATGCACCTCTGAGGGGCCCCTGTGTTGAGGGTCAGCATGGCGAATGTGTTGTTGCCTACCCTCACCACATGGGGGCGGCCCGTCAGGAAGTCCAGGATCCATTTGCAGAGGGAGGTGTTTAATCTCAGGGTCCTTAGCTTAGTGATGAGCTTGGAGGGCACTATGGTGTTGAACACTGAGCTGTAGTCAATGAACAACATTATCACATAGGTGTTTATTTTGTCCAGGTGAGGAAGGGCAGTGTGGAGTGCAATAGAGATTGCGTCATCTGTGAATCTGTTGGGGTGTTATGCAAATTGTAGTGGGTCCAGGGTGTCTGGCATGATGGTGTTGATGTGAGCCATGACCAGCCTTTCAAAGCATTTCATGGCTACAGATGTGAGTGCTACA